GTGCTCAGGAGCGCGGCTGACACTGCGAGGCACTCGTGCTCAGGCGCGCGACTGAAAAAAGCCGTGAAAAGGGACGGACCCCCTAAAAAACATAAGTGCCTGTAACGCCATATGGTACCTCGGTTGTATTGTGTATCCAAAAGCCATATGCCTGGACATTTTCTCTTGTCTTTCTTTCCCACGTTTGTGTTCTCCAACACTTCCAGAACTTGAAATTGCTCATCAAAACTCAGGATGCCTGAGATCTTCAATATCTGAGGCCTCTGGGCTCTGTGCACAGGGCAATCCTAGTCCCATGCGGGTGGGGATTTGGGGCATGAAACACAGCAGTGGTGCTAAGTGAAAAATGCAGGGGTAATGCCGGCTTTGTGTGAGAGACATGAGGGTACGGTATCGTTTGTGATAGCTCGAGGCTTCAAGGGTGTGTATAAATGGCTTCCATTTAAGGATTTAGACTTCACAGCATCTTCTTGTAGCAGTTAGGTAGCGTCTACTCAGTCTGGTGTTTGTATCCCCTCTCAGTTCCACTTGGAATTGCACAAGTCTGCCCATGAACTGGAAACCTCAACAGCCAGTTCATGACCATGTATTCTACTTTAAGGCCAGATGCCTAAAAGAGTTAGGTAGCTGAACCTCACAATGCTTTAAGTCTCTCTCTTGATCTATCCCCTCTGGGCTTTTTCTTCTTTGTAGTTAAATGTGCATTTGGTGCCTTCTGACTGAACAGTTGACAATATTACCATAAAACTTGTCTGATAGAGATACTACGAATGCTTTAAAACCTTTCACAAAATATTACATGTATATGCATATGACCCTAAACAACAGTAAACTCACACTATAAACCACAATTAATTCTAAGCATTAATAGTACTTATTTAAACTTACAGAGAGGGGCCGCAGTATCTTGAGAGAATCATAGAATCATAGAATCATAGAATGCTTAGGGTTGGAAGGGACCTCTAGAGATCATCTAGTCCAACCCCCCTGCACACGCAGGGTCACCTAGAGCACGTGGCACAGGACTGCATCCAAGCGGGTTTTGAAGATCTCCAGAGAAGGAGACTCCACAACCTCTCTGGGCAGCCTGTTCCAGTGCTCTGTCACCCTCACTGTTAAGAAATTTTTCCTTAAGTTCCTATGGAATTTTTGATGTTTCAGTTTCCGGCCATTTCCTCTAGTCCTATCAGTGGCCACCACTGAAAAGAGACCATGACCGTCCTCTGCACTCCCTCCCTTGAGGTATTTATATACACTGATTAGATCCCCTCTCAGCCTTCTCTTCTCCAGGCTGAACAGGCCCAGCTCCCTCAGCCTCTCCTCATAGGGCAGATGTTCCAGGCCCCTGATCATCCTTGTAGCCCTGCGCTGGACTCTCTCCAGCAGCTCCACATCCCTCTTGTACTGTGGAGCCCAGAACTGGACACAATACTCCAGATGCGGCCTCACCAGGGCTGAGTAGAGGGGCAAAAAAATCTTTTTGAAAAAACACCAACTGCTATGGTGTGCCATGATAACTGTGTTTATCTTAATAATAAACATGGGTCTGTTCTTTTACTCGTTGGAAACTGTGATCCTGAATTATGTTTTTAAAAGTTTTGAATAGCTTTTAAACACCAGCTGGTGCAGTTGAAGGAAAAACGCAAATGCTCAAGCCCAGGTTTTCTCCTGTGGGTAGCTTTTCTCCCATATGTATTTACAGAGATTAAAAGTGAATTATTTTCTTGCAGGTCTTTCATGTGTATGTCAGCCAGGATTCAGGATGGTTTCTAATAATGGTGGGCCATCTGTTACTTGTGAAAAATGCCCAGAAAACATGGTAAGTATCGAACTTTTTATAGACTGAAATTTCCATTTAACTACATGTTATTTTTTCATTAATTTAAGATTAATTTGAAAAACAGTCTTCACTTGGGATTTTCTAATGTGAAGACCATTTTTCTTTTCTGTAGTATTTATTTTTCTCTTATTATTTCTCAGAAACCTTTTAACTCTAAAATTGTGCTTTTGGAAAAAGTAAGAATATTATAAATGTTTAATTATGTTCAGTTACACATACTTTTGTAGTTTGGTCAGTTCTTTCTGGCTGTCTTGACAAAGTAAGCTTAAATTTTGGGCAGTATTCACAGCATCAAGCCACAAGCACCAAACTTAACTGCCAATAACTCCAATAAGTTAAATAACTCCAACTCTCAAGACACCAGCCTGGTTGGGCAGATGAAGTGTTTAATAGTTAACTTGGTAATGTAACTAATATCCTCCCCCTTTTCAACTTCTTGCTAATTTAGAAAGCCTTTGAGGAATATCCATTGCTGGTTTGATCTTTCTAGTGTTCCTTTCTTTTTCCTGTAATGCTATCAGTCATCTTTGGTCTTAAGACAAACTCATGCAAAGATAAAAAGATGGTGGGGAGAAAGGAATAACATCTGTGCTATTCCTATACATATTCCCTTACTTTCATCTCCCTCCTCAGTTTTGATCTGTTAGTGCAGCTATTAGAGGGATAACGTGTGTGTGAGCTCTTTGGATACATGCAAGATTCCATGCAACTGTATGAATTGCTATAGCTTGACTTAAGACTCTGCCATTTCTATTTCCCCTATGTATGTGTAGATAAATATGACTTTTTCTGCGTTGTTACATTTATTGAGCTTTTTTTTTGTGTAGAATCGATTTCTTTTGTAAACTCAGCACCTTTAACCAACACTTATCTTCACAATGGATGTTAGTTAGTGTCTTCAGAAAAACTTAAAAACATCCGTTTCATTCTCTGTCTTTTTTTGTTGTTGTTGCCAGATTGCTTAGCCTATTTTGCCTTTAAAGCTTCATGAATGTTATTAATGATATTATATATAAACACATTTGCTAGTAAATAACATATGGACCAGGCATTTTTCACAGGTACTTGGTAAAAATATAATAATTTTAACCTTTGTTAAGAAAAAAAATAATAATTTAAACCTTTATTTTAGAGTGGAGTTACTAAAGATGGGTGGAATTGTATTACTTGTCCGAAAGGCCTAACTTCAGAAGGAAAATGCAGATGCCTTAATAATGAAATATTAGGTAAGAAACATGCAAATTTTGATTCTTCATTAGGACTAAACTGCATGTTCATTAGGACTATGTGCATAAAGCATAAATACAAGTAACATATCTGTTATACATATATTCATACGCATTTATAGTGGATGTTATTTTCAGGTTGTAATTTGCAGAGTTACTTGCAAGCTCTAGATTTTTTTTCTTTGCATGTATTTCAAAGATCTACGTAGATACTTTCTTTTTGCTTTAGCATTGTTTTTCACCTGCAAGATGTAGCAGGTGTTGTGCTATTCATTAACTGCTTTGCTTTTCTTCTTAGTGGAAAGAAGTATAGATGGCATTTTGCTAAATGAAGCCTTATGTGTACAGTGTAATGGAAGTGAGCACTCATTCTCTGCTTCAGATGCCTTAGGAAATAGGTGAGTGTTCTTGTTCCTTCTGCATTGATAAGTCCAAGATTGTCATGATCTGATGTTTAAATGTTCATGAAACAACCTATATCTCTGGGGCAAAATATAAATATTTCTGCCTAATAGAAATATTTTATTTTGCATCTTCTGAACACATTTTTAATGCTTAGTTTTAAAAGCCATGAGCTGGAAGCTCACGTTAAAATCACTGAGCTCACTTAAGTCTTTATATGATCGTATATTTCTTTGCTTCAGTCAGACTATGCACAGGTTTTAGATTGGAAACAGAAATAAGTTTTATTTTGATAATTAACTGTTTTATTTCTTGCTACTTGACTAACAGTGGGAATAAATTTGTAATGTTGTTTTTTGGATTTCAATTCAAACTATGAATTTTTCTCACTGTATTACCAGGACTTTCCTGTCTGAAAAATGGTCTTTGTAATCTGGTTTCATTAAGTACTAGCTCGCATCCTTAACTACAATTTAAATGTTTTCTTCGTGTTTGTGATCTGTAGGTGTGTAAGATGTGAACAAACATTCATAAATGCCAGCAAGTCTTGTGATTGCAGCAGCCCTAATATTTTAGTAAGTACAACAAGGTTTCTTAGATGGATGCTCAAAAAAAAAAAGTATATACAAATGTATACATTTCCTGCTTTGTTTTTTTCTTTTTTTTTTCTCCTTTTCAGACTGGGGGATTATGTTTCAGTGCTAGTGAAAACTTGCCCCCAAAGGAAATTTCAACTGTTCGTTTTGGACAGATAGTAAGTGTCTTTATTTTGAAAAGTGTTTTTATTCTGAAGTATTCTCAAGCTGTCTTTTGGGTTTTTTATTTATTTTTAGCAAGTCTTCAAAGTCTATTGTTAAAAGCAACTTTGCACAGAGTTGGTTGTTAAATGAGTTAGAATTACAGTCCTGTTGTAAAAAAAAAAAAAGGCCAGAAATCTGCTTTTCCTCAAAGCAAATATTTGTCTTGCTTTCTGAAAATGCCTAGCCTTCTAAATATTATCTTACTGAGAAAATGTCTTGTAATTATGAAAGCTATTTCATAAATTTAGCTTAGTTTCATAAGTTTAGCCTAAATATGAGTAGTTATAAAGAGCAGAGTATGACATAATGAATTTGGCAAATTTGGTCATGATTTAAATTTACTACACAGTCTACACTTTACCTTGAAATTTTTAGCATTTCACTTGTGCAGTAAAGGAAACACCTTTGTCAAAGAATTTTTGTTCAAGGCTTAAGTTTTATCACTCTAATACTCTGTATTTTGTCTAAATTATTGAAGTGAAACAAATTATTGTATTGCAGTTTTATTTTGAACTGAAAAAATAGATGCACCTGACTGTTTTTTGGATTATTACACATTGAGTAAATTGTTCTAAACAAAGACAATGAAACAGTTCTTATTTACAGGGTGTAACACTGATATCAGCATGGTTTCTGAAAAACCTACAAGCCTCAGCCTCTGCCTGTTGGGTGAGTTATTAATGGATTTGCAGTTTGTCTTTGTATAAAAGCAATACTCTTGTGTTGAATCTTCAAATGCCTCAGACGTGGAGCTTTAATCAGTGGAAGTTACCTTGCTCATTTTTAAGATGAGATGATGACAGAATGTTAGAAGGTAATACACATAGAGAATGTTTAGAAAGAATATAGGACACTAGCTGGTGTTAGTGCAAGTCTTTCCAATTGTAATCTTCATAAGGTTAAGGCATGCTGCAGAGAGGGCTTTTGTGACTTATAGATCCATAAGGTTGTGGGTCTTGTAGAAGACCATGCATGACTAGAATAAATGAATTAAAACAGAAGTTTTAGTAATGAATGTTTTTAAGTCCCATGAGCCTGCTACTTTCAAAACAAAAATGCTGCAGGAGTCAGGAGTTACATGAACTGTTGAATATTTGGGGTAAGAGATTAGTTATAAAATTAATTTTTTGTATATTAAGTATTGATTGGCAGCTGGTTTGGGGATGTAATAATTATGTTCCAAGTTATAAAAGAATAAACATAGAACCATCCTTTTTGTCTTTACTCTGATTTATGCATGCAAGTGTTATTTAATGTTATACTGCTGTGGATGGCAGGACCACGCAGACTTGCAGAGATGCTGTCTGGATGCATGTGCACTAAACAGCTAGCTTGAGCCACACAAAGGCAATAACTGATGGCAAGTTAATATTTGCTCTGTAGACAACTATACTAAACTGTCAGTCTTAGGTCTTTGAGTCATCTTTGTCATACAACCTGAGAAGTTTAGAGGTTTTGAGTCTTACTTCACTTTTTAAAATCAGATTTTGATATTTCTGTCACATCCTACCATTAGCTGTTGTAACTAAAATGAATTCTGAAAGTCAAGGTGTCTTATGTGTTGTAAAAGTGGAAGTATTGGTTTCAAACTGCCATCTCTAGTTCTGAAAAAAATGAAGAACCTGAATAGCTGGAGGAAAATCTTGCATGTCAACAAAACAAATAATCTTCAAGTAAAATCAGAGGTTTAGAAATGGCTCACTAAAGTTAAGGTCAATTTTATAACTGCCTCAACAAAAGGAAGTTTGTACTAATACTTGTATTCATTTTTGTGTTTCTCTGCTGCAGTTGTACTCCAATCTAACAGCATGCCAAGCTCTTGCAAATATGTGTGTGATGAATATGAACTCATTAAGTTCTTCAAATACTGATGCCTGTGGTTTGTTTCAGTATATTTATGCCAACACAGCAAGGCTAGGCATTGTTCATTCAATATCCTTCTGGTAAGTTACCATTTTAGCATTTTGTAAGAAAAATGCCTTATAGAAATTAGAATTCTGAATGGTCTTTAATATAAAACATGTAAAACATTATATTCCTGTAGAGAAAACTATTGTAACTGTTTTTAGGAGACATAATCTGCCATGGCTGTATTATGGTGACCAGCCAGGATTAGCATCTCAGGTGCTCGAGACAACACATTTTCCTACACGGTTCAGTTTTAAAGGAACAAGTAAGGTAGGTGTTGAATAGCAGCATGGGGAAGTAGAGGTAGGAAGGGGACATTATAATATGAAAAAGGTTTAGATGTATTGCAGATACAGCTCTACTAAAGATAAATGTTAGGAATTGAGTGTAACAAAACTCATTGTGAGATTTTTTGGAAGGGAAGGGTGATAATTATATATATAAGATGGCTGATTTTACTGACTAGCATTCGTTTACTCATAGCATTCGTTAATCCTCCATACCCACTTATTCCAAAGGCCAAGATGTGCGTGCTTATGTGCTCTGGCCAAGATCAGTTGTGTATGACCCGGGGAATCAAAGAGGTTCTTGTCGATTGACAGTGATGAACTTGTATTTGCATAGATCTTTTATGCCCTCTGGTAGTTAGCAGTTGGTTTAGCATTAACTTGTACTTCAGAATCTTGCTTGCTTCATTTTCCGTAAATCTTAGGGAAAGCTGCTGCTTTTCACCTTGTTTCCTTGTTTGAAGTTTATGCATCTTTGTAGCTACTCTGTGTTTTCCTGGTGAGCTAACAGAAAACAAGTGATATCCATGGCGTGCTGTAACTTTGCTGCCATCTTCTTGGTGTCCGGGTGCAGGGTCCTTTGCTGACAAGTTGTCTGTGTGGTGGCTGTGTCACAACACATTCTTCATCTTAACTGATGGACACAGTGTTCTTTGTTACCAATACAGGCCATCTGCTTAACCCTTTGCCTTCTGTTTCTTCTGATGCATACACACATCTCCATCCATACTTCTTCATTCGTACCAACTTTAGTATTTCTGTTGCAAATCTTTACAGGCAGAGTTGTACAGGTTTAGTCTATCACTCCATCCCCCAAATTTAACTTCAACTTTCAGTGAATATATAGAAAAGCTGAAAAGTATTTTAACAAAAGTGAACTACCAGAACCAGTATCGAAACACATTGTTTTGTTTTGTTTGACTTTGTTTGTTTTTTTATCATCAGGATATAAAACTTCAATTTATTGCAGCCTCATTTGATGCAGAAGGAAACTTTCTTAAGTGGCAGAGTTTGGAAGGAGGAGCCTTACAGGTAGGTTAGCTTTATAGCTACCTTCTGTTGATATGATAATGTTTTAGCTGCCTTTAATCAAGTTAATACAACAGCCAAGAGTTTGATAACTAAGGTAGTGACAGTTCAACCTTAATATAACCACAAAACTAGATTAAATAGCCTTTGATTCTTTCTCAGGGTA